TTACATTTGTTGAATCATCCAATATCATCTACACCTAAAGACAAATTTGAAGTGTAATATTTATTAATTGATGAGATGTTTGTGATAAATCAGCCACTGAAGTGCTTTTAGGACACATAAATAAGCTTTTGTAGCTACCACTAACCACCTTGACCCTGATGCATAGTTTACGGGGACTCAGATAGGCAAAGAAATGACCCATACATTACCTTAGTGGCAGTTCAACTTCATGTGTAGTGAAGTATGTGTTATAACCTTTCCATCTTGGAGAATATGCTGATTGAATAGATTAGTTTTGTTTTGCCTGTTTATTTGTTGTACCTGAACAGTTGCCTTGGGCTGTCTTCCTCTCCAAAGTATTGTTTAATTACCTGCCAGGCTGCCACATTAAGTGAAGCAGTTGTAGCCTAGAGTTGGAAAGGCTACCCAGAAGTATTTGCTTGAAATTTTGTTATGCTTGGTTTGAGAGCAACAAATTAATATTTTTTTGGTATGATTTATGTTTAGTTTTTTCTTTAATTATTATTATTATTTTTATTTTTTATATTTTAATTTTTTGCCAAGAAATACACCCTGGGAAGTTATTCTGGCATTAAGCACATGGTCAACTTATTTGGACCACAAGGACAGGCACTTTCTTTTGTATTAAATTCTTGTGTTAGTTGAAATTCTGAAGAGATTTTCTTTTGAAGCTTGATGTAACAGTAAGATCTATCTATTCTTTTTCCTACAAAGATTTTAATAGCCCAGTGGTACGGAATTTGCTAAAAGTATTTTAGTTGGGTATTACAAATGATTTTTGGAAAAAGTTGAGTTTGGACTTCATTTTCTGCTAATTTCAGCACTATTTTCTTTGTTTGTCTTTTATTTTCGATGAAATTTGGTGGGCATCTTAATCACTTATGGATGAGTGTTCATTATTTGCTTGATGATGATGTTGAAATTTTTTTCCTTCCCTCGCGAGACTTAGGATCGTAGATTAGCTTTTTCACTTCTTCTAATGTACATTGTAAATTGAATAATCATTCACAATTGCAATGGAATGATCATTTCATAGGATGGATTCTCAGACACCAACGGATGCGTACTTCACCAATCTATTACAAGGGGGATCCAACCTTTTAGGTGAATTTATGATGAAATCTCCAAATCAAATTGGTCAATGTTCAAGCCAACATGGTGAAGTGGCTGGGCAAGAGTCTCCATTGTCACCCCAAATAGAATCTACCACAAAGAAATCACAACGTGGTGGCAACTTTAGTACAGAAGAAGCCAATCTCCTTGTATCGGCATGGCTCAATACAAGTTTGGATGCAATACACGGAAATGAGTAGAAACACAAGACATATTGGAATAGAGTTTGGGAGTATTTCCACAAGTACAAGACTTTTACTTCTGAACGTAATCAGAATTCTTTAATGAATCGGTGGTCAACTATTCAACTTGGAACCAATAAGTTTTGTGGGTTCTTTGCTCAAATTGAATCAATGCATCAAAGTGGAGTAAATGAGCAAGACAAGGTATACATTGTGTACACACCGTTAAATTAGATGTAATTGTCATTTTGTTTGAAGATGGTAATTAGTCTTTATTCAATTAATTTTTCAGATTGGCAAGGCCAAACTTATGTATCAGGAATTCCAAAAAGCATCATTTCCTTTTGAACATTGTTGGAATGTGTTGAGGTACCAACCAAAATGGTTAGAGGAATGTGAGAAGAAAAAACCGAAAAAAAAAAAACATCAGCAACTTCTTCTCCTTTTGCTCCAACAGCGATAAATCTATCAGAGGATGATGTCTCACATGATGCTTATGTAGACTTGGAGAGGCCACTAGGTAGGAAGGCTGAAAAAGAGTGGTTGAATAAACGAAAGATTAAAGATTCAACTGGTTCAAATTATGCAGGGATATTGAGTGGGATAATGGAAGACAAAAAGAAAGCAAATGACAAGAAAATGGAAATCCTTGAGAAAGCGTGTCTTCAAGAGCAAGAGCATAATCGTATTAACCAAGAGCTTGAGCAAGAGAGAATTCGAATTATGAAAGAGGAAATCCAAGAGCGATTTCGTATTAAACAAGAAAAAATTCGAGCAGAACAATTGAAAGAAGATGAGAGAATTATAATGATGGATACAAATGGTTTGACTCCAATGCAACAACAATATTATCTTCACCGCCAAATGGAAATTCTTGAAAGTCAAAGGAGTACTAAATAGTTAGTTTTTATTGGAATATATTTTTCTATGTATACATATCATGTTTTTGTTGAACAATGCCATGGTTCAGTGCATTTTTTTTTTGTTAAGTATTGATTTACATTGCTATGAAAATGAATAAATGACTGCTTAGGGGCATCTATATTCTGGATTATATAAGTATGTTGGTGTACCCAGGTTTATTTTTGGTGATTATTTGTTCATTGGTTGAAGTTGGACATCTTTTGTGGTCTATTAAGGCTTCCATGAGGGAAGAATTCAAATCGAAGCTCCAATCTATATAAAATTTATCTGTATACAAGTTTATAGTGTCTTTTATATGTAACTCCTTCTGTAAATGCTATATATTATTTTTATATAGATTATGTTGAGAAATTAAACTGACCTGAAAGAGCAAAACAGTGAGAGCATCAAGGTAAATAACAGCAATTCCATGAACCAATTTTATATAGATTGCTGCTGCTCTGCTTCAGATTCTGTTTCATCTTCGTCTACTGTCTATTTGTTCTACTGCTGGACAGATTCTGTTGAACAATGTTTATAACAGATCAATGCTGGACAGATTCTGTTGAACAAGGTAAATAACAGATTCTGCTGGACAGATTCTGTTTCATCTTCCTCTACTGTCTATTTGTTATGCATTAAGAAGACAGATTCTGTTGAACAATGTTGTTGGTGAGTTGGCTGCTGTTCTTTTGGATATGGACATGGTAGTTGGGGACTATTTGTCCATGATTTGCAATAAAATGTAATCCTATCAGGTTAATAAATAACAGCAATTCCATGAACCAATTTTATGAGAATTAATTTAATCTATTTAGTATTCTATCTTGTTACAAAGGTTTTTCATTGATTAATAGGAGCAAATGTTTTCATGGTCTATGAAATAATTTAAATATAGTACTTATTATAGAAGTATAATATTTAGTACAGTAGTCTGTTTAGTATAATAGCATTCTCTCTTGTTACAAAGGTTTTTCATTGATTAATAGGAGGAAATGTTTTAATGGTGCATGAAATAATCTAAATATAGTACTTATAGAATAAGTGTGATATCTAGTACAGTAGTGTACCCACTTAATTATTATGTTGCGGGGATGGGATCTGACTCTAGTATTGGATAGGATTTGGGGATTGGATCTGACTCTAATACTGGGTTGATGAATCTCATTTCTGTATGATTGCAATTGTACATATACCTTATTTGCTCTGACTCTAGTATTGGATTGGATTTGGGGATAGGATCTGACTCTAATACTGGATAGGATTTGAAGAATCTTATTTAAGTATGATTGCACTTGTATATATACCTTATTTGCTCCAATTCTGTCACATGTAAGGATGGTCGTGCATCTGGTGTTCATTGTTTCTTGTTTTCAACAGCTTGGCGTCTAAAGCCATTCATTTGTGTTCTTCAATCTGTTATATTCTATTCTTGAAGGTGCCTATGTTTTAAAATCCTTGCTCTTACATCTGAAATATTAGTCTAGAGAACCTGTAGGTACGTGTATGTATAATGTGTACACATGAATGACTGTTTTGTTCGAATTTCATTGTACATCAGAATCTACTGAAAGCAATTAACACAGTTTATTGGACCTTTTTGCAGGGTAGTGGATTTGCTACTCAAGGTGAAATTTCATTTTTATCTTGGAATAGCAAGGTTCAACATATATTAGCATCCACTTCGTATAATGGGACAACTGGTGAGGAAAGAAATTATCTAATTATCTTAATTTGTCACTTAATTCATAATTATCAGCGGGAAATAAAGGTATTTTCTGTGGTTTCAGTGGTTTGGGACCTGAGGAAGCAAAAGCCGGTGATTAGGTAAATTGCTTTCAATACTGTGAAGCATGTTGGGTGCTTCTGCATGAGACAATCATAACGTAATAACATAAGATTTCTGGTTTTTGTTGGCAGCATTTCAGATTCAAATAGGAGGCAGTGCTCTGTTTTGCAATGGCATCTTGATGTGGCCACTCAACTTATTGTTGCTTCAAATGATGATAGTTCACCTGCTCTTTCTTTCAGCAAATATTAGAAACCTATAGAAAACTATTATATTGTTTGGAGATTTTGAGTAATTGATCAACTTATTGATATCTTTAATGACTGAAATGCTTAAAAAAACAGAAGAATTGAAGTCCTGCATTACATTTGGCTTCCAAGCTTTGTACCGACTGTTCCTCTAAAACATTTTCTGATGCTTCATGGAAGTTTGTAATATTGTATAACTTTTTGAGTTACTTATTTGTTAGTATTTATTTTGATGACACATAATTTCGTTCTAATGAAATGAGATATTAGTATGAGCACTTTGTGTTTATTAGATTTAGCAGATGGTGTTGTTGCTAACAACTGAATGATGACTATGCTGATGAGTCAAGCCTGTAGGGACAACTGGCTGATTGATTGTTTTTACCATTTGTAACTGCTTGGAGAGTTTTTAGCTGTTAAATAATTTTGTAGAGGACTCATCTTATGCATTATATTAAATTTACACCCATTGTATTTTTATGTAATCCTTCATGAGACAGGCTTTGCTTGCAAATTTGCAATTGCAGGACATGCATCAGATCTTAAATTTGCAATTCAAGTTTATAGTCTCCTTATGTAAAAATTCTAAATAATACTGACAGAAAAATTATGTAGTTATTAATGCTTGGAAAATTTCAAATTACAATCAAGACTAATGAGTTTTCATCATGTGACCACGAAATTTAAAATTACAAGTTGCTATGATTGACTACGTAGTTGCCACAAGTGCTCGACGAGGTCCGATTATAGTTGAGAATGAGTTTCTCTATCTTTAATGCGATGATGGCGTCGAATGAATTCCATAAGTTCAGTTGTATGCTCATGTGAAACAGATACATGTGGATTTTCATCGATTTGTTCATAGTCGTAGTCTTCTACTTCATTAACATCTCGCTCGCCCTCAACAATCATGTTATGTAGTATTATGCATGCCTTCATAATGTTCTTAAGTGTTTTACGTTCCCAAGAACGTGTAGGTCCATGTACAATTGCAAATCGTGCTTGAAGAACTCCAAAAGCACGTTCTACATCTTTCCTTGCCGACTCTTGAGCTGCAGCAAAATGCTTTCTCTTATTTCCTTGTAGAGATGGAATTGTTTTGACAAATGTTGACCACTGTGGGTATATACCATCTGCTAGATAGTATCCCATTGTATAATCATTACCATTGATTGAGTAATTGACAGAAGGAGTACACCCCTCAGCAAGCTTGGTAAATACAGAAGATTGTTCTAACACGTTGATGTCATTATGAGACCCCGGTAACCCAAAAAATGCATGCCATATCCAAAGATCATATGATGCTACTGCTTCTAAAATAATTGTAGGTTCATTAATATGACCAGAATACATACCTTTCCATGCAGTTGGACAATTCTTCCATTTCCAATGCATACAATCAATGCTCCCCAACATCCCAGGGAATCCATGACTTTGGCCAATTGTTAGCAATCTAGCAATGTCATTTTTGTTTGGTGATCTCAAATACTCATCAGAAAAAATTGTAACCACTGCTTTAACAAATTTTTTTAAACTTTTCATTGCAGTGCTTTCTCCAATCCTTACATATTCATCCATAAAATCAGCCGCTACTCCATAAGCGAGCATTCTAAGTGCAGCAGTCATCTTTTGATAGGAGGACAAACCAAGGACTCGAGCACCATTTCTTTTTTGAACAAAATATGGTTCATGAGCTTTTAGTGTAGAATGAATACGGAGAAAAAGAGAACGATTCATTCGAAACCTTCTTCGAAATACATTGGGAGGATATATTGGTGATTCAGCAAAATAGTCGAGAAAAAGCCTTTGGTGGCCTTCTAAAGTATTACGCCTAATGAATAGACGACGTTGTATAGAACCACGACGTGATCTTGATTCTTCCTCCATTTTGAGTACTGTAACTATCTCTAACTCATCATCAGAGTCTGACTCATTAAGAATCATATTGTGTACAGAATTGCGACGCATAGTGAGAAAATAAACACTTAATGTTAAAGAAAACTGGATGAGGTGGATGAAAATTAAAGAGGAATGATCTTATTTATATTGAAAAAATATGACTGTTAGAAAAGTATCTATTTCAAAAATATAACCGTTGCAAATATATTCATTTGAAAATATGACCGTTATAGAAGTTTTTATTTAAAAAATATAGCCGTTGCAAAAGTATGTATTTGAAATATAACCGTTATTACAAAAGTTTCTATTCAAAAAATATGACCGTTAAGTGTCCATTTGAAAAATATAATTTTTTTGAAAAAATAAATAAATAATAAATAAGTAATATTTAAATTGAATGGAGAAAGAAATGGAGAGTTTGTTGGAGCATGACAAGAAAAATCAGGTTAGCTAAAATAGAAAAGTAGGTTTTTAGCTACAATTTGACTAAACATTTAGCTACTTTGATAAAGATGCTCTAATAAGAGACTGTTGTTATTTTTTTTTTATTGTGTATTGGTTTCAAAATGGAAACATGCACAAAAAGTTAGAAGGGTGATTTGGTCATATTTTTCTAAGCAGGACCTAATGGAATATTAAAAAGGGTCATTTTTCAAAAAGTCATATTCCTAATTGTTATATTCCATTTAATCTATCTTCTTTTTTAATATTCCATTAGGTCCTGTTTAGAATAATATAATAACTTTTTGTGCATGTTTCCATTTTGAAACCGATACATAATAAAAAAATAACAACAATCCCTCATTACATGGAGAAAATCTCTCCTTTATTTTATGGAGAAAATATCTCCCTATTCCATGGAGAATGTGTACATTTCAAGGTTAAAATCTTTTCCTTATTCCATAAAGAAAATATTTCCCTCATTCTATGGAGAAAATCACTCCTTTATTCCACAGAAAAAATCTCTCACATTCTTAAAACCTTAAATCATTTATCTTTTGAAAATTTCTCACTAAATGTTAATGTGAACTTTCATAATACAAATGCATGCTGGTAAATAATATTCCCTCATAGAACCATACACTGTCAACATTTATATTGTTTGTGCTGGTATGACTATTTTTTTAATGTGAATATTAACATTAATTGTGATTTATTGTGAGTGATGCATGGTTAATGTTGTCATGTTATTTTTGTATTATAGAGACACTGTGAACATTCAAATTGTTGGTAATTGTTTGTTATTGTGTGCATATAACTATTTAGTTTGCATTGTGGTAAATGCAATATTGATGTGAACATGCACATCTTATATTATTAAGATGCACAATATGTTGTGACCAAAATATCACATTGTTATTTACGCTTATATACCTATTTCCAATTGTGAATATTAATATTCATTAAAGATGTGATAATCACCACGCCAATGTGAACTTTCACACCATATAATAATGAAAAAAGGATCTCCTAGGATACAAGTCTAAATCTATGGATGGGATTAGGTGGAATACAAGAAAACTTTATGAACTTATTGGGCTTTAAGTCCTCCAAATGGGATTTATAAATAAATCTCTTAACTGCTAATGTGAAATGATTGTAATACACTAAAATCTTATATTTTTTTGTTATTTACTTTCTCTCTCTCCTCTCGCATATACACATAATTTATAATTTCTAACACTAATTCAATTAAATCACAATTAATCGTAAATTCTTAATTATTTATTATAACTTCTAATTTTTTAATATAAATTAATTTAATTATATTTTAGATCACAATTAATTAATCCTAAATCCTTAATTATTTATTATAATTTCTAACCTTTTAATCTAATCTTAATTTAATTATGTGTTAGATGGAAATTAATCCTAAATCTTTAATTATTTATTGTAATCCTTAATATCTTAATTTAAATTTTAATTTAATTAAATTTGAAATAATTACCAACATGTCCTATTGAGAGACTTATTTACTTATAAGTCCTGGATGAATTTTTTTAATATTTTTTAATACTTATTTTCCACTTATTTTGATAATGCGAAAAGCTTAATTTGGTAGGGTTTTTTTACTAATTTATAATACCTATGCACTTATATTTTATTTTTGTAACTTTTTTCAAGGACTAAATATGTTTGAATTAAATAATTTTGGTAATGAATAGATTCAATCAATAGTTTAATGACTAAATAGACTTTGATTAATATATTTTAGGAACATAGTAGACTCAATCGATTGTTTAGGAACTAAATGGATAATTTGACAATGGATTATAGCGATTCCAGTTTTGACCCGACCTTTGTTATTTATCGGACTTGGGTCTTGTGGTTTAATATTGTCATATATGTCTTTTCCTCCTTTTTTCTCTTTGAATTTGAGTTTTGGAATGATTTAGGCGTGTTTGGAACAGGTTGGTTGCTTGTTGATCTAGAATGTTATTGCCCAGAATTTTGGTCTTCTGTTCGAACGGGATTTCCTACGCTGAAGTGGGATTGCAAACACTCATTACTTCGCACGTCTACAAAATACTGGAGGAGTGTTTTCCACGCTCGAGCGGCGTTTCTTACGCTCGAGCGTGTGGGCGCTCGAGCGGTTTATCTGTTGTCTGCAAAAATACTAGAGGTGTGCATTCTATGCTCGAGCGGAACAAAACTTTGTGTCTGATGCTCGAGCGTCAACTTCTCCGCTTGAGCGAACTGTGCGTATATCAGATCGCGAATGTGACGTTTTATATCACTTTGTCATTTCTCTCTCTCTCTAAAACTTTCCAAAGACCTAGATTTGGACCTTCTCACTCTAGAATACTCTCTCTCTACATTTTGATCTTGATCTAGTGGTTTCCTTACCCTAGTACCTTTGTTAAAAGGTTGGAGCATCTCAAGATCTTCATTTTCATCCGATTGGAAGTTGGTTTCGGTGTTATTAGAGCTTCAATCTTGTCTTGCGTGGTCTTCTCTTCTTGAGGTAGGGATATTCTACACTTTGTTATGAGTTTTAACGTAGTTATTTTTTGTTATGAATATATGGTGAGATTTGGGGTGTTTGGAGAAAACCTAGGGTTTGGGTTTGAATTTATCAAAAGGGGGTTTTCATGTGATGTTATATAATTGATCATGAGGTTTGGTTTTGAAGTTATCTTGTGTTAAAATAGTTGATTTTAACTTTTGAATCAATAATTGAAAGAATGAGAAGTTTTTCCCTATTTTGTGTTAAATAAATACCTTGCATAAATAATGGAATTGGTATGAAAAATATGAAATTGAGAGAATGTATGTATGAATGGTGTACTTGGATTTGCGAAATCACTCACTTATGGAAATTTGATGAATTATTTGCTTTAAAGATTGTATATCTGTTTAGAAATATCTATCTTAAGCTATCGGTGGAGGATAGTTATGATTGTTGTAAAAAATGCATGAGGATTAGATAAATTGAAACTAATCATTTAAATGTGTCATTGAATATGACAGTATGTTGAGGCATTGAATATGCATGATTAATAGTTATTGAATATGACGGTATATTTTAAATACATTGTATGTGTATAATGTTTTGGGAGTAGAAAGGGGATGTACTCCATATTTTGGGAGGAGATAGGGAATAGACTCCATTGAAAATTAAGTTGGCCGAAGTGTTCAGGGTGAAAGGCCCAAAATCTTATGTATATATGGGTGTCGATCCCGCGGATGAAATTTTCATAAAATGGCAAGGTTGAAGTGCTTGTATAGTAGTTATGTTGATTAAGAACCACTGATTTGTAGTCTCAGTTGGATTAGTTGGAAAATTATAAACTTGACCTATGAATTGAAATGAAATGCACTAACATGTAATGAATGTATGGGAATGGAATGAGACATGAGTGTTAGTACTGTATGGCCATGGGAAGAGTGTGAATTGGTCATGAATATTGAATATGTCTATATTTGATGCTTATATCTTAATTAAACCTCATATATTGTGATAGACTGCTTTTACTAGGCTTTGACTGACCTTACTTGGGAAACCACTTTCAAGTACTGGTGACATGCCTCCTCCAAGGACGTAGCTTGGGAGGATCTAGAGACCAGAGGCTCTATTTTGTTATGTAAATGTTTTATATGTTTAATCAAGCTAAGGGCTTTACATGTGCAGAGGTTATGACTCTCTTTTTGTTATAACTAAGAAGTACCTTGGGAAGATGTAAGCCCATAGGGCATTTGTTTCGTTATTATTAATTAGTGTTACATGCTATAGATTTAGGATGAACATTTATGAATGTATAATGCATGTAATATCTTTTGTATTACGAACGCTGATGAATGAAAGGATATCAATTCTATTATATTCACTTCTTTTATGAATTGGTTTACTTGTATTATTTTGGGGGTATGACAGATTAGAGGTATGAAATGAAATAAACCCTATCTGCAGCGTCCCACCCCAGCCAGCACCATGTCACGGCCTTGGTTATTTCCAAGCACTCTGTGTGGCACTTAGACAATCACAAGCCTTACTTGATGATGCTAAGTCAACCTAGTTCACAAACTTGCAAGAAAGACAAGTAAGAAGACAAAGAGAGTTTGAGATAATGCCTTTGTATTCACTTTGAGAAAACTTGTACAACTCTTGGATGGATTGGAGCAAATGAGCCCTTATCTTATTTATAGGCTCCTTAGGAGCATTCTAGAATACAAAAGAAAGTGGTATGTAGAAGCTTCCCATGAAAATCTTCTTACAAGCTACAAAGATCATTCTAAAATGCCTTTTAGAAATATCTATACAAATATCTACAAGTTTAGTCATATGTACAAGTGTGTATGTACTTGAATTCTCTAGGGCCTTCTAGAATTCTCCATGGTCTCATATGTGATAGAGTTTGCTAAGAAGTTCTAGATTCTTCTATTGACTTCATTCTTCCAAGCTCCCATCTAGATATATTTGGAGAATCAGTAGGAATATGACAACCAACTCCAACTGGAACCCATCATTTGCCATGCCCAACTCCAATAACCCTCACAATTCTTGCTCACGCCTTCACAATTCATCCCTACCACTACTGTCTCTTCTTTAGCATTTCCTCAACCCTGTC